GCATTCCAGTGTTGTTACTCCAGAAGTCGATTTGTCGCCGACTCGCCTGCAGGTCCAAGGGCATACCCCGCATGTTGGTACAAACTGTACCAACTGTGCTGGTCTTCCGGGCCTGCAGGTAGTGGAAGAATGTCGGGGATGAATACCAGTTGTCTGTGTACAACTGATACCCCTTGTCGTTCAGCTCTACCTTCTCCATCAGGTCGTCAATGGCCTTCATACTCGCCGAAAACTGACCACAGTCTTGCCCCTTGTAGATATTGAAGGCCGTCATATACCCTGCCTTTGGACCATTGAACGAGCAGAACTTGTAGACCTTCAGGCCCCTCCGAGCCCTCTTACTAGGGTTATGTTGAAGGGCCTGATGCCTACCCTTGAAGGCCCACAAGCTCTCATCGACGGTCGTGTTCTTGTTGGGGACGAGAATGGAATGGTACGTTGAATCCAAGACGTCAATCACAGGGCGCAACTTCCACAATCTGTCCTCCGCGTTGTGCTCCCCTTTGTTTTTAGCGAAGTGGAGGGTGGAGGTCAGATTGTCGAAGCGGTCCCTGGACATGGGACATAGGGGGCATTACGTTTACACATTCTCCGACTGCGCCGGATGTTGCCAGCCAGCCTGAAATTTTAAAAAAGATATTTTACTATAAAATAAAATATACAACATAAGACATATGTTATATGGTTAATACCGAAACTTGATTTTTATGTAAACAAAATGCTTGATAATTACCAAAGTGAAGTCATGGAAGCAGTGGGTATCTTGTAAAGCACTGGTGGAAGTACTGTGGACGCATGACAGAATGTTTCACCCAACTCTTGACATTCCTCCACATGCGCTCGATCGTCTGCGGGTAGATCTTGGCATTGTCGGGGTCAAGAAAATTCTTACTGGGTCAACAAAATTCTTACTATGGTTTATCACATACTGAGAATATCCAAGATGCTGAAGCGTTCTGAATGCATGCTATAAATAATATTCCCTTTCCGGACGTACTGCTGGATGAGTGGTATAAATGTAGCAGTGGTTCTGTCCTGTGCCTCAGGATCTACCAATGGAAGTACAAACAAGTTCTTAGACTGCTGCTCAATCCCACTGAAGACCCATACCTGATGAAGCATCCTCCCCCTGTGATACTTCCACCTCGCCAACAGGATTTTGTCAATCTCGACTTCCACCCCTGGTCTGCTGATGGGTTCTTACTTCCCAAGCCAGAATTGTCACCTCAGAGCAAAAGATTCTGCAGTCTACCAACGTCTCTGAGGAATGTGGAGGTACTCTATTAATAATGTCCTGTGGTCCCATGTGTGGCGCAAGTAATGATTGGTGAACAAAAGCAGCTTCCTCAGCAATATTCTCAATGTGCAATTCCTTTTTTAAAATATTACCAAACAATCTTGTGAGTGTATTGTTAGATTACAAGTTGCGACAACTGGGCTAGCCCTTCAGGCATTGCACATTTTTCAATGTAGTCATGGCTATTTGAATATTATAAAATTAGTCAGAATACCAGTGAGCTTATTCTCTGGAAAGCAGTTTGCACTTATAATTTGTAATTTGTAAAATTATAATAAGCAACTTATAAGAGCAAAGGACAAGATCTTTTTCATTAATTATAAAAAAAAAAACTAATCTAAAAACAAATACAAATTGTTAATCTCTGATCATATTTTACCTAGCATTTTCTACAAACTCCAAGAGCAATTAACAAATACTTTGCATGAATAATAGCATAATTCCGTGCATATAATTTAAATTTCATTATACTAAAGTTAAAATCAATTGATACACCAAATAATGTTTTTCTTACCTGTTGTAATTTCAAGTTGAGGATACTCTGTTTCCAGCTCTACACATCTTGTCAAACAGAGTTCATTTCAGCATTTTCTTGTGGTAATATGGATGTTTTATATTCCAAAGGACATTTTCTTGGCAATTGCTTCCGAATTCCACATTCTTACAGAAATATGACGAGATGACGTTCTTCCTCTTCGAAAAATATGAGCGCTTGTTTATGTTCGTCCGTCACATGAGGATACAAGATATATTGCATTGTTTTTGTTATTTTTTAAAATAAATATTATAAATATATATATATGATAATTTACTATTATAATTAATAATTGTAATTTATATATATATCAATTATAATGCATAAATATATAATTAGACTAATGTCATGTATACTATAGACTCTCAATGAGTATGACTTTTCCACTGGAACATCGATGGATCGACGGGTTGCCCATCGCTTCGGACGAGTAGGCAAAAAAAAACAGTGGAATGAACCAATTGGTGGGCAAATTCCACTCAAAATGATTAGATTTCATGAATCGATGGCCAGTGTAACCACACCTTTAGGAATCGGCTCAGTTGATCGAAACGAGCCTTCGGTATAGTCTCCAGGAACAGGGGCGCGGAGTCATAGAGGTCAGTCGACCAGTAACCCCTCTGCTCAGGCTTGATGGTCAGTCCCATGGCCATCCTAAGGCCAATGTAGACCGAAAGCTCTGAGACAGAGGTGTCCACCCACTCCTTCATATGATAAGAACTGGGGGCTGGTCTTTGACAGTAGAACCTGGAAAAATAAGAATCAAACATAGTCATTGTACACAATAAGCAAAAATTATGTAACAGAACTATTGCAGAAGTTTTTATATTCAAGAAACATATATACTCAATTAGACGCGAAATGCGTATTTGGAACTGAAAAATATTACGTTTTGTCTCGCGGACGAGCACATCCATGAGCTCTTCAGTGAGGAAGTCGGAGAATATTTCCAGCGGGCCGGAATCGGTGTCCAGCTCAGGGATGTTAACCCCAGGATGGACGTCAAAACCAAACTGCCTGGGGACATTCTCCTTTTTCCTCCACCGGAACCCAGGTTGTCCAGGAGCCGTCTTCTCCCGCTGTCCCCTCGGCACATACCTCTCGCCTTCCTCATTGTCTGAGGACAAGTCGTAAAAGCAAGAGGTATGTGGCAAGGTGGAGGGTCGTCTGGAAAGTTACCAGGACAAGCGGCGGCAGCAGAAGTGGTTGCTCTGGTTTTCCGGGGCATCTTCAGGGTATACACAGCAGAAGTAGACTGAATTGGTCAGTGTAAGGCACCTCTATTTACTACCTTCGTCAGCCAATCAGAATGCGCCATTTCACTTGATCCCGCGCTTTACACAGTAAGGTAGAACTACTCTTTTACTCGTTCCCTCGTTCAACTACTGTTGCCCTGTTTGCACTTGTTTGCGGTGTTTCTTCTCTTTCCTTTCCTGTTTTTTTTTTTTTTTATGTTGCCTTTTGTCTCCTTTCATTGTTTGTCCCCCCCCCCCTCCGAATGTTCGTCCGTTCGTAACTGAAGCCCCCAAATTCAATCTAATAATCAAATGATCTATTTACTCAATGCCTTCAAACAAGATCTTTCTGAAGAAGGACCAAGTTGAAACCAATAATCCTACCATCACTGTATGCTCACACATTAACCACAAGCAAAACTTGCACTACAATAACATATATTCTATGATACTGAACTTAAAAGTACAAAATTTTCAGTCATAAGTACAAATTGCACACAATGATATGCATCATATTTTGCAGATATGAATGGCAACATCATAAATAAATAAAATGTGTAAATAAATATAGCATTTGGCACCAATATATGGTAAGAACTAGAAAATGATAAACTTTTAAAAATTAATGTCTCACTATTAATACCATTTCCATATTGGGTGGACACTGCCTGTTTTGGCTAGGAGTTTAAGGCCTTTTATCAGCCCTTTAATTAAGGGGTGTTAGGGCCGAGTCTCTTAGATACCTCTTCTAAAGTTTTAAGTAACACTTTGGGATTTGGTAACAGAAGAATAGATACAAATATTTGAGACTCATTAATCACAAATAAATGTAAACACATGAATGTACTGTATTATGTTAATTCACTAACATTTATCAATTATTAATATAATGCACATCATATTCTCATTTTACTCATTATGTTACAGTATAACAATAACATTACATACCATCTAATTTATACTCATTTGAGATTTCAGACTGGACAGGCTCACCCACTGTGCGAATTCCTGAAACCAAATAGATTATAAAATTACTGCTTTTTAAGTTTAGAAAATTGTATTTACTAACCATAAACCGTAAAAGTTACTGAAATTGCCGCACTCCACACTCATCTCATACTGAGTCCCCAATTCCAAATTACAATCTTCGGTAATCAGGTTTTTAGGGAAACAAAGAAAGGCCATAACTAGGTATGCTGTAGGATATTCCATCCACCTCATATTTCGGGAAAATCTCTGGAGGCTAATTTCCACTATATATATTCTGTGTCTGTGACTTTATTTCTATTTTTTTCAAGATAAATTTAACACCAATGAATGTAGATATTACTCCTTTCAATATTGTACTCATATTTTCAATACCATAGTGCGGTCCTCTTGGTAACTTTGACCCTATAAACTATAATGCTGAAATATAATGATACATTAATATAACATAAGTCACTAGTTAATCCTACCAGTACATAATTGTTTGATTTGATTTGTGCTACCTTCAAGATTTTGGTCAGGCCGTGCAGTGCTTAATAACTTAGGTGATGAGGCGCTGCAATATTGAGATGCAGAGAAATGGTGATGGGACACTGTAGCTTGTTGTTAGAATTTCTTAATATTTAATTTTCTTCAATATATCACTTAACATAATAATTAAGTAAATTACCTGTCTTTGTCCTTTGGAAATCTATGAAAATGATGGAAAGGATGTTAATCTTTCCGCCTTTTACAGATAACACATGGATGGGATTTTCCGACCATCATGAAATGCGCGCTCTAAAATTTGTCTGCTGTTGTCACTTGTTTTTTCAATGTAAACACATGACATCATTGACGAGCAATTGTAACGCCATCTTTTAATTGTACTATGTTATGATGTCATGGACTACTTTAAGGTCCCAGTTAGTATTATTTCACCCTTTTCTTGGACTTTCCCGTCTTATTAATAGTCTTTGGTTGTCATATCCAGCAGGTAGAAAGACACCTTGTACCACTTGATGGTCTTCTTAGTCGCTGGATATGACTGTGCTAGCTGCTCCGAGAGATTGACGCCCTTCGTCCCGTTGTTGTAACAGGCTACAACTTCAGGGTTTGACCTCTCCACCCCTTGGCGGTTGGGAGGCAGGGTAATGACCTTTGAGGTGTGAGCAGTGGATAGCATTGTCACAGGACGCTTGTCTACCCACTGCAGGCAGAGCATTCTGGTGTTGTTACTCCGGAAATCGATTTGTCCCTGACTCTCCTGCAGGTCCGAGGGCATACCCTGCCTGTTGGTACGGACTGTACCAACTGCGCTGGTTTTCCGGGCCTGCAGGTAGTGAAAAAGAGTCGGAAAGGAATACCAGTTGTCTGTGTACAACTGATACCCCTTGTCATACAGCTCTACCTTCTCCATCAGGTTGTCGATGGCCTTCATACTCGCAGGAAACTTGCTGTGGTCTTGCCCCTTGTGGATATTGAAGGCCGTCATATACCCTGCCTCTGGACCGTTGGACGAGCAGAACTTGTAGACCTTCAGGCCCCTCCGAGCCCTCTTACTAGGGTTATGTTGAAGGGCCTGATGCCTACCCTTGAAGGCCCACAAGCTCTCATCGATGGTCACGTTCTTGTTGGGGATGAGAACAGAACGGTACGTCGAATCCAAGACGTCAATCACAGGGCGCAGCTTCCACAATCAGTCCTCACCGTCATGCTCCCCTTCGTTGTGGGCGAAGTGGAGGGTGGAGGTCAGGTTGTCGAAGCGGTCCCTGGACATGGTCTTGGTGAACACCGACTAGGACAACAATGGGTCCATCGAAAAAAGGTCCCTTTGGCACCTCTTCGCCTGAAGCCCCATGAGGAACCTAAGGTCGACATATGACACCATTGTGTCCTCCCACCCCTTCATGTGGGATAAAGGGGTGCGTATCTGCAATTGGAAGAAAACAGACATTGTAAAACAGGGGTTTCAAAAAGGACATGTAAAAGTGTCCAAAGCAGATCACAAAAAACAGTAAGGTAATTTGTAAGTTGCTTACCGATTCGTCTCATCCACAATAGCTTGAAACAACTCTGGGAACAGGCTGGTGAATATCTCCATTGGGCTGGACGATGCATCAAGGTGTGGGTGCACACCCGGTGCCCCCTCGAAGCCCTGACACTGGACGAAGTTCTCCTTTTTGTGCCAGACAAAATTTGGAGTTCCAGGAACGTTGCGCTCCCACCATCGTCTGACGTACTCTCTGAGGGGCTCGTCTGAGTCCAAAGAGGTATCCACCAGCGGGACATAGTCGTAATCGATGTCTGAGCCTTCCTCTACGGCTGGAGTCGGACTCGGATTCCTCCCAATCCAAGTCATCACCATTGAAATGGCCAGAGATTTCAATTTCTGTAAAAATATGTAAGAAAACATGAGTTCTCTGTAAAAAAGTTATGCTATGCAGAAACAAAGTACATGTCCAAAGATCCAGGTATTTTTACAAGTCAAAAAAAAAAAGAGATAGAAAACTTACCAGATAGATCACTAGTCCTTTTAGAGCTTCAGAGGAGGTGTACATATGACCTGTCATTAAGGGGTTAATGAGATAAGAATCACATACGTACATGATTATATGTAAACATTACCTGCACAGTTATATTTAAATATTTTTATGTTAGTCATAAATATGATGCACATAATTGTAGGTACATATGGAAAATATATATTGATCTATAGAATTATGAAATATAAAAAATTAAATATAAATGTGCTTTTTTTTGTATGTTTTTATGTATTTTAATAGATTTTCTGAGAGTATGAACTATTAACTTGCGAATAATAACATGAAATTCTTGCGAATGATACAGACATGTCTTGGTGTGATTTTGCAATTGCTCCTGAAAATCTGAAGTCATGGAAAAGGGCATGATGATAATATTGGTTTTGCACTATAACTTTGTTTACGGATTTAGGATGTTGCAAAAGCTTCTTTAACCGCATTAGGTCAGCATTATGACCAGCTTATGTGAGGACGCCAGACTGCCTGTACATACCCACCTCACGCAACACAGTCACTGCGACATGGTGTCTGCCTGACATTGAATCCCCCGTCACAAAAGTTTGTGACCTTCCTTCCAGGTCATTTAGTCTGTATGATATAGAGACCATGCACTAGTAATGTATAATAATTGTCCACAAACTACTGGTATCCTTTCCCAAGGAAATTACCAAACTCCATCAAATAAAGCACCATTTTCGTTTAGGCAAGAGGTGTAACCCCCAGCAGGGTCAGTACCGAAGCCAAGCTACCCACAGAAACTTCCACAATAACTCGATGGCGATGTCCTGACCCACATACCTGTGGGAGTGCGTGCCGAGGAAGATTATACTGAATTTACCACACAACCTTACCAGTGCCAGGGTCTTTCCATTGCCATAACCGCTGGGCAACTGCAGACAGTGGGTCATTGGATTCAAAACTGGTGTCGTGTTGTGACATGCAATCTATAGCTGAATCAGAGCCACTGGTGACACTACTGTCCCCCTAAGGGAAGTACTTGTCAACACTGTCATCAGATATCAGATGATAACATAATGTCTAAAAATGATTGTATTGAATAACAAAAAAAAAATCATTGTCTTAAGGTTAATGTCAAGTAAAAGGGATATTTTTTACAAGATTTTTTACAGTAAATTTTAGAAGTTAGTGTTATTTATTTTCTTAATAATGTTGTTATTAGTATGTGTGAGAGAGAAAGAGAGAGAAGAAAACTCACTCTAATGGGATGCTCCTTCATTTCAGATCAGTGGCTTACTGGGTGCAAGCAGTTTTAGCACTCTACCTGCTTCAGAGTTGTGCAGCCGAAATCTTGTAGCTGTGACTGTGATTGATGATAATGGAAAGCCAAGACTGTGCAGGGCAGTCATCACAGGTAATTATGTGTTCTCTTTGGCTTCCAAGTTTTGTGTCTCATCCTCTTCCTCTTGTCTTTGTCTTATTTTATCTTTCTTTTCTTCCTCTTCCTTTTTTCCCTGTCATCATCATCCTTATGGATGTAATTATTCTTTTTTTTTTGTGTGTGTGTGTGTTTGTTTGTGTGTGTATATTTTGATCCACCCCCTTATTTCTTAGTTCTCATCAGCAATATTGTGTTGATAATCTTAGGAGCTGACTCTTATTTGAGGGTTTGGCTTTTGATATTCTGATATTTTACTGATTTTCAAGCATAGTCCTCTACGGAAGACCTGTTTGTTGACATTTTACTGAGTATAAGTAAGCCTTTATTATATGAGAAAAATGCAGAAGGAAAAATCAAATGAAGTCAAGCCAGGGGTTTTGCTTCATGTAGTGAACTCCCGCACTCAAAGTCAGCTCATTGCCATTAATCTCCAGAGCTTAGGTTTCTTCTTCTTTCTTCTTCTTCTTTCTTCTTCTTTCTTCTTCTTTCTTCTTCTTTCTTCTTCTTCCTCCTCCTCCTCCTCCTCCTCCTCCTCCTCCTCCTTTTCTGTTTTTCTTTTTTTCTTTTTCTTTTGTTCTACTTTTGTTCTTTTGTTTTTTGTTCTACTTCTTCTTTTGTTGTTGTTGTTGTTGTTGTTGTTCTTTTCTTCTTCTTCTTCTTCTTCTTCTTCTTCTTCTTCTTCTTCTTCTTCTTCTTCTTCTTCTTCTTCTTCTTCTTTTCTTTTCTTCTTCTTCTCTCCTCCTCCTCCTCCTCCTCCTCCTTTTCTGTTTTTCTTTCTTTTTCTTTTTCTTTTGTTCTACTTCTACTTTTACTTCTTCTTCTTCTCTTCTTCTTCCTCCTCCTCCTCCTCCTCCTCCTCCTCCTCCTCCTCCTCCTCCTCCTCCTCCTCCTCCTCCTCCTTCTCCTGCTCCTGCTCCATCAGTAAGGGGTTAAGATATTGAAGAAATAATAACATGATGATAAACTTCACTCTGTATAGTTATACAGATCAGTGATACTAATTTATTTGTTTCCTCCACTACAGACACAAGTGAAGTTCCTAAAGGTTTTCTGAGGGTCCTACTAGTTGATGAATGCTGCCCGAATATCCAGGTTAGACTGAGCCATCTGTACTATTGCCCCAAGCATGTGTCTGCAAGCAAGTACCCTCCATCTTGTCAGCAATTTGTGCTTGCTGATGTTATGCCAGTTGAGGAGAGACTTTCTGAGGCTGAGAAATGGTTGAAGTGCATGTTGCTCAACAAGACGGTTGAGGCTGTGTTTGAGAGGCACCCAGATGGAACCAGCTACATCTGTCCTCTTGACCATCAGAACCTGCCATTGGTCTTCAGCATGCTGGTAGCTGGCCTTGCTAAGATGTCCACAAAACCCCTTATCAGTGTAGGCGCACTGACAGGGAACAGCAATGTAAAATTGGAGATCAAAGCTGAGAGTCCTGCCCCTCCTCCTCAAAGGGCAGCTTATTCTCAGTGGAAAATGCCGTTGGGTGTAAAAGAAGCGGCAGATGTAACAACTGTGGAGAAGGGGCCATGGAAGTTTTGCCTGCAGTTCAGGAGACAGAAAGAGCAAATACCTTCACTTCGGGAGAAACTGAAAATTCTAGTTCTGACGGGAAAGCTTTCAAAAGGTGACTTTGATATTGGAGATGCAGTTGTCTGCCCAAACAAAATCCACGGGGGACATAGCAGAGCCCTCATCACAAACAAATTGCCAGACAACATGTATTCAGTGTATTATGTTGATGAAGGAAGTAAAGCATTGCTGAGTGAAAAGGAGCTGTGGTTGCTCCCAGAGGGGATGGCCAAGATTCCATTACTAGTGCATAGATGTTGTCTGGATGGGCTGGCTCCTTCTGAAAACAAGGACATCACTGACAGGTTTGAAGCTCTGGTAAAAGGACGAAAACTTTTGGCTAGTCTGGTGAAGATTGGCAAGGATGTACCAACGACAGTGAACCTGTTCACCAATGAGAAAAATTCTGTCCTGGATTTACTAACTTGCAGCTATAAGCAAGAGATACTGCTGAACAATTTCTTAGTCAGCATTTCACACATTAATGAAGAGAAAGCTGTACTTTACTTGGTGTTGTGTGAAAATGGAGAAATGCTCGACAAACTCCACCAAAGTGTTCAGGCGGCTGCAAAAGTAGCAGGCCCACTTGAGTTTCCAGAGGAGCATCAGTCATGTATTGCACTTTTTCCTGATGATGGATGTTGGTACAGAGCTACTGTCCTCAGTGCAGCAGACTTGGTTCATGTATGTGGTACTGATTTTTGAGCATCTTTTGACTTGTCATGAGACATAAGAAATTCTGAGAAAAATATTTTCTTAAATCAAGCATGTGTAGTGGTTAGTTTGCATTTGAGAATTTTACTTTTATCATCCTCCACCTCCTGCCCCTCCCCCTCCCTCCCTTCCCAAGTTGAGAAACCAGGCCAGACAATAAGATAGATTGACCAAGTCTCATGAATGTGTTTGAAATGCCCTCCCCCTTTTCCAGGTCAGGTATGTTGACTATGGCAATGAATCAAGCCTTCCAAGGGATTCCCTGAGGGTCATACACTCCACATTAGTGGAGTCGGCTCCCTCACAGGCACTGCCCTGCATACTCAGTGAGGTGGACCAGAAGCCTCTATCAATGATGGATGTCAATGAGGTGAGGAATGGTATTGATTATATGCACATGTGTTCCCTTTTTTTCTCTCTCATTCTCTCCTTTTTTTCATATATATGTGAATCCTTTGAGAACATTTTTTGACAGGTTATAATTATTTTTGGGTAAATACATTTTTGAGAAGCTGGTTTAAAAGATCTGTAAAACATGACAGAATGGAATGAGATGCAGTAACCATTGAATTTTTGCAAAGATGTAAAGGCTTAATGCTATGTTGCTGGGAAAATGCTGTTCCCATTTTAGAATTTTTTGTGGAATATCTCTGCACATAGATG